TTTCTGGCCTAATTACCAGGGTGCACCCTTCAGAACGAAGACTTGTCTAAGGTCATTGCTAAGCTTGAGCCCACAAAGTCCACCTGGTGTCCAGCATCCGGTCTGAACAAAACCCTTGCCCACACGGAAATCAAACGCCTTAAATTCAAACCCAGCCTCAGACCCAGTGCCACTGTCCGTCAGTAGACTCGGCTCCATGTGTACTATACAGGGCCCTTATTCTCTGGAGGGGCCGAGGCACATTAGTCAATTCAGTTTTTTTTAGCAGATTTGAGCTTTTTTGGCTCAAATTTGTACCCAAATTCCACCTTGTTTGTACACCTCCCCTCAAAAAAATGGAACTTGTAAATTTCAGTTTCTGGTCGCCAATTTCAGTTTTTTTGTAGCCAATCCTACCCCTGATTAGTATCTGAACTATTCCTTGTTCATAATGTAGCCACTCAGAGCCTTGAGTAGTATCTGATTTATACCTTGTTTATATTGAGGATAAGGTGATCTGACCAAGGTGGACTGTCACGATAGATTTCTTCCTTGTCTGGACTGAGGGGAGCACACATGGGAGTTCTTCCAGAACTGTAAGGCAAAACCCCTGTGCTATTTTCAATCAAATCTTCCCCACAAAAGCCGTCCAAGGTGATCCATATCCTTCTGACCTTCGGCCTGGTACACGCATTAATTGGTTGGTTAGCCTTTTTAGCATTCAGATATGAATTATTTTTAAAAGTGATGACTATAAAGGCAAAGTTCTTAGGGCTTAAACCTTTTTAATGAAAAAATCCCACAAATCTGAACTTTTTAATTAAGTCACAGAAGTGTCCATGATTGAAAGAAGTAAAGCGTTCCATAAGGATTTCATTCTCAGTTCAAGTGTTCTGATTGCTGAGAGAAAAATATACCTTTCACTGAACGGGTAAGTAGCTCTTTGTCCAAAGGACTTGGCTGCGGCTTGAAATTGTGCATGAGTCAATGGCAGTGGCTATAGTCATTGGCAATGAGTCATGTGTAATCATGTGTATAGTCAACTCGCAGCCAAGTAATTCGTACATGGCTTATATGTAAGTCTTTCTCTACTGATACTGTTTCTTGAAAATCTAGAAAGCAATCAATAATTCTTTACTCCTATCATCACATGCTAATAATTACTTTTAAAGCCAGCATGTACCTGCCATCAAACATGGATGAAAAGTCTTCTATTCTACAACGTATAAATATGTTTAAACTCTCAAGTCAAAACCCTACCTACAATAATGCCAGAGGGATTGTATCAAATATGTCTGTCCAAAAACTGATATGACTTACATAGTCTGCTTAATTGAACATGTCCTGAGGTTGCTTCAAATTATGCATGTTTCTTTAAAGTCAAGAACAATTTGTAATACACACCTCTACAATCACATGTTAGCAATTACATCTGTACTTCAAAACCAGCATTTACTTGCCATTCAAAATGGATGAAAAATGTTCTATTCTACAATGTGTAAAATATGTGAAAACACTACTTTTAAAATCCTTCTATAATGATGCCTGAGGGATTTTAAACTAATGATGGGACTTACACAAACTGTTTTTTTGGCCACATATATCACAACAATTAGGGAATAATTTCACAACAGAAGACAAAATGTATGCATTTCAGACAGCTGGATAAGTGTTCTGTAGGCCCTTCTTTCTCTTGTCTAACTCTCACTACCTTCACAGTGTTGGCAGTGATTCCCGTCTTCCCCTAAAAGATCAGAGAAAGATGCTAAAACTTAGAAAAAACCTTTTTAATCTGCTATAGAAATGAGTCCCACATTACATGGTTACATTTCC